ATGTAGAAATATAACAAAATTATATTTAAATAAATCACGACGTTTCGAACGCAACACAAGCGATCATCATCAGGTGCAAAACAAATAGCGAGGGAGCACATAGGGGGACATCACGCAACACATAGAGATCGTTAAACTGCATGGAGGCAAATACAACAAGAAGATGTCCGTCATCCCTCCAGTCCTTTTCTTGCCTCTTGGTGTGGTGTTACTCTGGTTGTCCATCTGTGCTGCCCAATACATCTTTCCCTGGATGTTCTTCCCTGTGTATGTATCTCTGCTACCTTATATCTCGTATTTGTTCAATCTGTCTATGCTGGTTTGTTCCACCGAGAGGATGAACACGAAATTTAGCAGTCTTCTGAAATTCGTGGTCTGCCAGGCAAGTGTCTAACTGTGTCGTTGGCCGACTGGTTTTGCATCACGTAAATTTTTCTTAGGTTTGTTGAATTCTCGTCTCTCATCTTCTTGTTGTATTTACCTCCGTGCAGTTTAACGCTCTCTATGTATTGCGTTGATGTCACCCTATGTGCTATTTTTTTTTACACCTGATGAAGATCGCTTGTGTTGCGGTCGAAACGTCGTGATTGATTTATTTTAATATAATTTTATGGTATTTCTACATACGTGACTTTACCGAAAAAACCAATGAGTAATTTATGCAGTCACAAAAGCTTTAATTCATTACTGATTATGGTGTCAAATTGGTTACCTTGGATGGGTAACCATAGATAGATCAGGCCAATTGGAAGGCTCAGGAGTTGTCCAGCAGTGGTGTTCTTCATCATGAGGCCAATGCCCGATAGGCGTCTCTCCTTGTTGGCTTTCCCTGACCAGAACCGGGTGTAGCCCATCACGTGCTCAGTCAGGGATCCCTGCTCTGCGAAGCCAACTTCGCTGTGCTGCGATGTCAATGTCAAGTTTCACAAGCTCCCTTGTCACGAGAGCCGAGCATCGTTGTCGTTGGTTGTTGTCATCTGAGTCTATCATTGTGCCAAAGTTCCAGCATTCAAATTTTGAGAAGTTTGGTTCTTTTTTCTTTCTGTCAACATAAAGAGATGCCCGATGCCTGCAGTAAGCCAACTGGGTGAGTTGAGGCAAGCTTTGTTTAGGCCACCTTTTCTCGGCCTCTCTCCATCAGGAGCAAGCAGTGCTGTCCATTGAAAAGGCTGCTTGGTCGCTCAGGGTGCTGCCGGATGATGTTGTTGCCTCTAGTCAACAGTCAAATGACCAATATGGCCGAGCCGCCTATATGCAAGTTCAATGCAGCGGCTGCCAGTGCAATATATGTGTAGTGAGTTCAACTGAGTCGCAGACATAGACTTGGAGGCAACACATTTATTCAACTCCAACACACGGGTAACTTTCCCCTTAACAAAATAACAACCTATGTTGGTGACCACCAGGCTAACTACACTAATTACAACATAACTGCTACTATGGACCGGGACCAACAGCTTGGGTCCAGGTCCACGTGTTGGAGACTCGTTGAACGGAGAACGTAGACGAAGGTTTCTTCCAGGATGAACAACAACCCTGGTCCCTCTCGGGACCCAGCTTATATTCTCTGCGGCGTGGCTGGCTCTGCCCTTGGCCACACCCACCTTCCAGAATCCTCAGGAAGGATCTGGAACCCAACCACGTGACCACCCCGAGCCCCCACTTGGGACCCCTTTGTACACTTAACTGGTTGCGTGTCCTCCCGGGTCAACCAGAGTGCCATGGCCTTTAGTAACCTCATCCTTCAGCCGGCACTCTAACTCCCTGTCCTGTAAGGCTGGCACTGCACGCCAAGCGTGGTGCCATCGAGCGCTATCAATCAGCGCTCACTGGGCCCCTCTAGGGCCGGTACTACACCCACACCACTGTGGTATCCGCGATGTTGTTACACCGCATGCCGTGCCTCTCTAGGGCCAGCACTGCACGTTGACATCCCGCGATGTCACTACATCTGTACACCGTTGATTATCTGGCGGCTTCGGGGGAAAGGAGGTGCCGGATTTTTTAAAACGACGGATAATCACATTATTTAAAAGACATTATTTTTTCATATTCCTGCATAACATGTTTTAAGGTGTTTGTTTTTTGTGTGTTTTACATTTGTTTACTATTGAACTTTGCATTAATTAACATCCATAATATAGTTTTTTGGGGTTAGGTCGCGTAAATATGTGTCATTAAACCCACCACCACCCAACACAGCCAATTAGTAAGGTTTGTCACATAAACAGAACATGCCAATTCATTACTAGTACAGCACACGGGTATGTTGGAGAGAAAATCCACAAAATTTACTATCTGATTACGACGTTTCGCCAGTAATTACAACTAGTTTAATAAAGCGACAGCCAGATTTGTGGAGAAATCCTGCTGTTTCATTACTTAGAGGGATAGATGTGATTATGTCACTTGTGAGCCCTTCTTGTGCGAAGGCAGGGGGGGGGGATTAATTAATTCATAAATTACAATGGTTAGCCATTGCTGGTTGGGTTATTCATATGGTAATCAACGTACATTATGAATGAACATTATGCATGCACATTGTTCTTGTACCTCCTGTAATTTTCGTGCAATAAAATAGCAGTACCTGTTATTGTCTGTGTACAGGTAATGCGCATTTATGTATGGTGACCTGCATGCATATAAATAATGTATTATTTGATGATTCGCTTCCAAGCAGCACTAAGCCTGTAGCTATCCGAACGGTTAAAATTATTTTTATTTCTCTCAATTTCGATAGATGCTCGCGCATTGTTAACCCAAAAAAACTTATATTATTGATGATATTGGTCGCGAAAGCCTACGTATTAAACATACAAATCGACCACAATAAACATCCTACTTTAAAAAAGTTACCGTATTTACTGTACCGTATTTAATGACTCCAATATTGAAGACTGCATGGGGTGCTGTACATACTACGCTCTTATTTTAACAACATGTGTTTGACGATCGTTGATGAAATCTTCAGACCAGCGAACGCCGAATTATACACAATTTTCGCCGGATCTCACTGTATTTTATGTTTTTATCTCTGTAGTTATTAGTCATGAAAATGTATATATGTGCAATGTATTCATTGTTTAAGTTGTATCTATGTAGTGCAGAATGTACTGTATATAATTTAAATCAAGCCTGTTGGAAGCCGGATAATTGTGCGCAGGATAATTAATGATGAACTCTACAGTATTTAGAAATGGCACAGTTTCCTCTTTTGTAAACTACAACTAAATTGTTAACCTTGAATTTGTGTTCGTATCTACTTATTATATTGATAGCATTGCCTGGTGAAGAATCTACCCAAGGATATAGGAAAGATGTATCTCCAATTTATTCGGGTGTGTGCTTGTTGGTTTGAAACAATGTTACTGATCGTGTGATCTATATGCCATGCATTGCAGGACATTGCAGAAGTTAAGGATAAAACTGTATGCGAAACATTAACATGGGGGTGGTGAAACAAGGAAGGCGTTTGATGATGCTAATAATGAATAACAGGATATTTTCTTGCAGACGTATGCAACTCGTTCACATGTTCGAATGGAGGGATCTGTGCGAATCACTGGCACCCGTACTGGCACTCGGGCTGGGAATCGGGCTGGGAATTGGATTGGCACTGGCATTGGCACCCACAATGGCAATGGCACTACAACAATGGCTATTATTGCTACTGCCCTCCCGGTTGGACTGGACCCTACTGTGACCACTACGGTGAGGTCGTATGGTTTTTACTTGGGTAAAGGGATCCAGTGAGACCAATTTGTTAATGAATGGATGTCAAATGTGGAATCGGTTTGAGTAATTTAACTCTTAGAAAAGAATGAAAACACTTTCTCATTGCACACAATTCTATGAATTTTCAGAATGCAAACCCTGGCAGTGACGTATGTTAATGCTTGCCTGGCTATCAATGTACACCACTTCATGTAGAAAATACAGAAACAGGAAAACAAACCTTAAATCTTGTTAAACATGTGTTTGTGCATGTCTCTAGCACATAGTACTTGGAATGTCATTCTTCAGTGTACACCCTGTATCCAGCCATATCTTAATTAGGTCACTGCATACTGTAAAAGCCTCATAACTAATATTATCATTGGCTGGGTTTTTTAGTTTAAGTGATCAGGTTTTGTCACTCCAATTAGCTGTGATTGATAGTGAAGTGTATTTGCATTGGGCCACCAATTCTATCACTTTCAGCATGAAATTTTAAAGATATGATACACAAAGTGTACTGTCATCATCTGAGGAATGGATCATTTTGTGAGTGGAAATAATAAGTCATAACGAGAAGAAATAATGTCGAAGACAAAGCAGTCAAACGATGAAGGAGCTGATTGTTGATGATAGATTTCACAATTAGACAATAGTGACTCTTACATTATTGATTGACAGGCAAGACCTGAGCTTATTTCCAGGTTGATGTTACAGTGTGGGTACTGGGAGAGCTTATATGATTGGGAACTCAAGCCTTAGGAAGTATTCAGACTGGATATGTGCATAATGCATTGAGAATCTTAGTTCTTTCCTCTGTTTGCGAGAAACACTAATGATTACATGGCCCCTTTATTTTGATCAAGAGTTGAATATACTTTTAAAGGCGCCAGAGATTGACCTTGTTTGTTGTTTCTTGGATTATAGGTTCAGATTATTTGTGCCTCAGTATCACACATCTGTGCATTTGAATATTTAGATATTACAAACGGTTTGCTACTGTTAATGAAGCTCAAGTTAACTCCAGCTGTAGTAGTGGACTCCAGCTGCAGTATTATGGACTTCTCTCTCTGGCTTGCTCCGTGCAGTTCAAGCGTTTGGCAGCCTTAACTATTACCTGGAGCTGACATTAACCAATGACACACTGCCTGAGTATCCGGTCATGCCAAACCCTCAGATTGATTCATCCACTCACTGGGTTATATTTATTAAATAATAGATGCAGTTAACTATGAGGATCTGAAACCTCAGTCACACTCTGCTCGATCAAATCAGTTTGTCCTGGACTTATGTAGTGTGCCTGGTGAGCCTTAAACAATGACGCTTGCAAAGGTTTAAATAATATGACGCAAAAAAAACCTTCCTTCATATTACTTACAAGTTCGCCTTTGTGTTGTGGGAGGACAACAGCACATGGACAAAGCTCAGTCCTTTTCAAAATGTATTGGTATAGACAGGCAGCCTGCTGATTGTATTACCATATAGCAGGGTTTATAAAACTGCAGTCCTCGCTACCCACCACGCTACGTCTTTCTGAGTTTACTAATTTACTCCCCATTCAAATACAATTGAACTCGTTCTACGCTGCACGCGTCCAATTATTTTTAAACAAATTCCACGGGATGCACTAAGCAATTAACGCCGTCTGCGGTACGTGTAAACACGTGCACACACACATTGGGAGGACTGGAGTTTTGGAAATCTTGCCGTATAATGCCACCTCATATTACTGTAGATTGATTATCTCGCATGCATGATGACGTCTGCGTGATCCACTAACCACATCTGTAAAGTGCTGACTAATAGGCCACCTGGTTATTTTCCCGTTACCTTTCCATCACTGATCACGTGTGTGATATTCTTTTTTTTATTCCCAGAATATTCATTGTCGACACCAAGCCCAGGTGAGATGTATGTATTTTGTGCATGCGCAAGTGTTGGCATATGAGTTACAATTTAAAACGAGTACTGCTAGGTGAAGGCCTCCTCACAATATCTCTGCCCTGGGGGTTACTTCTCGACAATGGAAAGCCACACTCTTGTTCAGGAAAGTACTGCTACATTGTTTTTTATTTTAAGATGTTTTCAACCAATTATTTTTTTGTGCTCATACAATTGGGAGAAAACCTACGCGTGCGAGGGTCAACAGCCGCAACACTTGCATTGCCTTCTAGCGAGCCAGGGTATTCAGCACCTCGACGCCCACGGGAAGGGAGTTTCACAACATCCACCAATCTTGCCTCCACAATAGTGAATTTCAGGCGTGTGTAGACATTCACCACCCAATATTAGCATACGGACGGTTTAAATTCGTTTAAAAAATATACTTTCTACAGATAAGTGCCAACCGAACCCGTGCCTCAATGGTGGGACCTGTGTGGATTACGGGTCTTGGCATCCTGAAAACTACCATTGCTACTGCTATGCAGGTTATTGGGGCGACATCTGCCAACACTATGGTAAGTAGACTTTACATGCGGGCTTGCAAGAATGCATTCAGTATACGTATTATGAGTTATTAACATCCTTGGGTTTCTTGGTCTCAAGCTTAAGAAACTGGAGGTCAATGTTGAGAAAACTATTAATGATTAAATGGTTTATGGCGACGGTTTTGAGATTGTATATATAATAAACAACACACGCGGCAAATTGATTATCATTTCTTAGGATGTCAGTCTATAATATTAACTTTGAAGTAGACATGAGCTTTAACGAAACTCTGCAGAAAGTGGCAGAAAGCTTTTGGAATCAAATGTACAGTATCTTCCCGTTGCCTTTCAATCACTAACATGTCTGTGATATTTTTGTTTGATTCCCAGATTATTCAAGGTCGACACCAAGCCCAGGTAATATTTGTTATTGCTACGTGATGAATAAGAGTCATTGCTTGTGTACCACTGACAACGCAACATAAGCAAGTGATATATTTACATTGTGCGTTCTCACATGTTGGTGTTTGAGTTGCCATTTTCATATGAGCACAAGGGTAGTTACAGCCCTTTTTCAAACAACTGCTGCATCAAAGACTCCCTACATCGAGTCTCTGGGGTGGTAATGGTGTTGAGAGTGAGATATTTTCTTTGTGCCTCGAGATAAAGCCGTGCTCTGATTAATCTGTACAAATGTGTTAGATGGAGCATCACTGCAAGTGAACTGCACTTCGGAATACATGGAGTTTAAGATCCCGCAGAGTAAAGTGAACTCGCTCGGCCTTTCAAATTACGATGTCCACCTGGAGGACTCCTCGTGCCGGGGATACTCCACCGGACACTTCCTGGTCCTGCAAACCCACCTTCAGGCCTGTGGCACCACGAGCCAGGTACAGTATTTATTCGACGGACCCAGATCCCTACTCATACACACAGGTAGCTTGGCAACCAATTCGAACATTACCATGGCAACCCATTCACATTCGTACCTGGGAGCCAAGACTATGGACACGGGACTTTATCCTCCACCACCCATTGGGGCTGTTGAGCCAATATCTCACTCACAACAGACATGATGTCATGGACCTTCACCTCTCTTGTGTGGGACATTAAGTTCAAATCCTATTGTGGGTTTAATAGGAGGTGGTGGTAGCTACAGCTGTACATACGTCGTCATATGATTAGGTGAAAATGAAATTGATTAAATATTTGGGTTTACCTGTTGGTATTTTAAAAAGCACAAGTAGTCTGTAATCATGGTCAACGTTAATCAAAATTGAGTCAAGCGGCTGAGTAGCTTGGGAGGATCATAATGACCATTACGCAGCACGTACATCATTTGTCACTTTGTGACTATCGGGACTGGATGCAATGTCATATCATTATGGATTATTGCTGAAGGAAAGTCCTTTCAGGATGGAGGTTAACTCCCTTTCACCGAACATAGCAAAAACAATGCTCTCCATGTATACATTTGCTGGCATTGAAATGCCAACGTGGAAATATGGAAAATAGACTGGCATGCCTTTCAATTTCAAATGGATCCTGATTGCCCGCAATTTCACTGATCGAGATTTTTTAGTTTTTAATCAAAGTCAAACCCAATTGGAAAATATTTGTAACACCTATTCTTGAAGAAGATGAACACTAAAGCTAGTTGTATCACTGTCTTGAGTGAAATGTATTTATCTGTGTGGTTTATGTTAATGAATATTTGCATGTGTTTCTAGGATTTTCTGTTAGACCTGTGCATGGTTACAATGTTAAAATACTTTTTAGTGTCAGTTGTCATTTTCTGTTTAAATAATTCCCACGATGATGTTGGGTAAGAGACTTATTGAAGAGACTGTGATGGGTTTATAGTGTTATATTTCATTCCCTGACGTGATCATCAGGATAAAGATGTCAACATTTTCCCATTAAAGGGAGCTCTGGAGGAAATATTTCCACCCCGTGATATATTTTGATTATTTATAATGAGTAGAAGATATGCAGTGTGTACATAAAATTTAGAGATGTAGTCAACATTTAAATTGCATTTTGTTGAAATAAGTTATCAACAGTGGTCATCTGGTGGAAGCCCTTGCCCAGTGAAAAAACATTCTCATTCTCATGGTAAGGACAAATATGTATTTATAATGACCACTGTTGACCAAACCACACAGACTCAAGTCTACCCCCGCCCGAAAATAGTGAACTCGCAACCCTCCATTTGTGGTGCAAGTTCTGTAACCACAACGGTGGGTGCACTGCATTGCTACCGTCTTGCTTTTCCCCAACAGACAATCGGCGACACCGTTGTTTATACGAACACGGCGTACGGCTTCATGCCAGGGACGAAGGTCAAGAAGCTGCGCATCCCCTTGCACTGCTACGTTGGCAACCAGGGAAAGGTCGTGGCCAGCTTTGCTCCAAGGTGACAGCAGTAACACTGGGACACGACGACGACGAGGAGGAGGAAGGTTATCTCCCCCCACTCGGCATGCTTGGTAGATGAACAAAAAGCATTCTGTCCATCAAATAAAAAGTCTGTGGAAAACAAAGATGTAGACGTAGAGTACAGCAATGGATTTTTTTTGCAGCACCAAAACGTCGCCCATATGCAGGGAGACTGTCATGAAAACAGTAATAGTTCACATTGAACACTGTGACTCAAACTCTGCCCCTCAGCCTAACTCTAACCAGAACAAACACCCGTATTGTCCAAGTGTGTTCCCCAAATTCAAATTGAAAATGGGTAGTGCTCATCTCAGTTGGTGGCCCTAAGATAATGATTGTACATTACACATTCCTGTGGCAGAGACTCTTCTATTGATGCCCACAGGGATTGATACATTCAATGTGGAACTAATTCATTGTTGCCAGCTTGCCAGGACCTCCCTTGAAATGAGATGCGAATCTTAAGGTGGTTATTCTGGTGAAATAAAGTGTGTTAGTATTTAGCTTGGCAAATACAAACTATAGTTTTTATTACAGGATGATAATAACAACATTCAAGCACTATCCAGGCTCCATCCTGCTTATTCATTTGTATTTGTCTTAGCCCAATCTTAACTCCTAACCATAGAACAAGCTTTTCCAAAATTCTAAACTAAACATCAATGTTATCATAAACCGCACCATAACACTTACAGCTGTGACTTAGCTCTCAAATTAAGGAGCAGCACTGTACAAGGTATCCATTAGAATGACTGACTGATGGCGTGTCATCTTTCTGTATCTACAAATCGGGGTGTAAAGGGCATCAAAGTTCTTAATATTTATTATTTAAGTTCGGGATACATCTCTTAGTACAAATATCTTATTTTGATTCACACGTGTAAATTGCAATGCACGTCGCGTTATGCCTCCAGCCACTAGAGGCCGCTGTTCAGACGCCATCCAGACTTCCACCCTCAGACCTTCCCTGTGGTAGAGATATGTAGACGACACTTTCGTCATTTGGCCACATGGCCTCCCAGCTTTGAACCTTTTCCTACACCACATCAATTCCAGACATCCCGCCATCAAATTCACCATGGAAGTGGAGAAAGATGGCAAGCTGCCATTCTTGGATGTTCTGTTTGAGAGGAGACCTGATGGCTCATTGGGACATTCTGTCTACAGGAAACCCACCCACACAGATTCCTACTTGAAGCCTGATTCCCACCACCACCACCCAGCTCAAAATAATTATCTCATCAAAACGTTATACCACAGGGCTCATTGCATTTCGGACCAACACCACCTGACCAGTGAATTAAAACATGTACACCTGGCCCTCAAGAGAAACGGATACTCTGACCGTACCATCCGCAAGGCTGTTTCTCCCTCCATACAGAAACAACCACTTGATACTCCGATCAAAACCATCACACTACCATATATAGCAGGCGTTACTAAAAAGATCTCCAAAATTCTAAACAAACACAAGATCCTGGTCCGGTTCAATACAGTACACAAAATCCGTGACCTGATCTCATCCGTGAAGGATGTCATTCCTGACTTACAGTACCCCGGGGTTTACAAATTGAGCTGCACCTGTGGTGATTGCTGTATCGGGGAGACGAAACGACATGTCTCTGACCGAATTCGCGAGCACAAATCAGATTTGAAACACGGCAGAACGAATTCTTCTGCCGTAGCTGACCACTGTTACAACGCTGTGGGTGATCACCATATAGTTTTCTCCGATACCAAGGTCCTTTGCAAACCCACAGGTTTTCAGAGATTTATCCACGAGGCAATTCAGATTTACAAACACAGACACAATTTCAATCGAGAAGATAGTTTCAAATTAAGCAATCATTGGAAAGATGTTCTAAATCATACCAAACATTAAACTAATTTGCAATGGTACAGTATATCTATCCAAGTAGTGATATACTAAACTTTCACAGCAGCTTATTTCTCTTCACACCAACGTTTGTAAACTCCCCCCCCCCCGTGCCGGTCCTTTACGTTGCTTTACGGTCATTTCCCTTCACACCATCATTTGTACATTTGTAAACTCCCCTCCCCCCGTGTCGGTACTCTATGAGCATTTTATGCTAATTCCTTTGTCAAAGCGGCGTTTTGTTTCCTCCCACACAGCTTAAAGGACGCGACCTGGGCTTGACTGTCTTCATTCCAACGCTGTCCTCGTGACAGTACGGTCCCTTCACCTGATGAAGGCCACTTGTGTTGTGGCCGAAACGTCGTGATTTTTGTTGTTTTATTTTTTACCTACGTGACTTTACTGAATAGAACCAAAGAGTATGGATCCTTGCAGTCACGAAAGCTTCAAATCTAGAATAAATAATACTTTTTCTTTGGTTCTTTCGGTAAAGTCACGTAGAATGAGAATAAAATAATAAATTGATAAAATAAAATAACACAATAATATTCTCACGACGTTTCGGCCACAACACAAGCGGCCTTCATCAGGTGAAGGGGGGCGAGACTGTCTGGTAGGACAGCGCTGGAGTGAGAGAGCCGTGATCTGAACGTGGCTCTCTCACTCCAGCGCTGTCCTACCAGACAGTCTCGCCCCCCTTCACCTGATGAAGGCCGTTTGTGTTGTGGCCGAAACGTCGTGAGAATATTATTGTGTTATTTTATTTTATCAATTTATTATTTTATTCTCATTCTACGTGACTTTACCGAAAGAACCAAAGAAGATGAATCATTGCAGTCACGAAAGCTTTAAATCGAAAAATAATACTTTCTTGAATAAAATCGCCACCCTGACTTGGGAGGGCGAATCATTAGACCCGTTTACATTTCTTTTTTTTATAAGAGAGCCTCTCAATATCCCTGTGTTCTTATGGCAGGGTTCACGACCAGTACAGCACAGCCCATTTTGAACTGAGTATGAAGCTCTACACGAACTGGCATTTTGACCATCCTATCTCTTCGTACCCGTTCTCCGTGGAGCTCGGAGATGCAATCTATGTGGAGGTGAGGACGGATTGCACCATCGAGGGGGTTGACTGTGCTCTCAAAAAAACACAAATCGCATGGTAGGTGGCGTTTTGGAAGTCTGCGATCCTCATCTCTGAAGCTGGAAGTAAGCGGGGCAACTTTGTCGCACTCTATCTCTTAGGCCTCTGTGTGCCATTGCCCGAAGCATCAACTATTATAAATTGTTTCCTTTTAAAGCAGTGTTATTGATTTAATGTGACTTTATCTGTGAGTTGAGCTTATGCACCACTGCCAATGCAGCATCATAAAATACAATGTGTTTAATTTTGTTGGACAATGTTTGCTCGAGTCTCCAGATATTGTGTAAGTACTTAAATTTAATATTTTTACTTTGAATAAACTCTCATTGCTTTTGGTCTGCAATAAACAATAATAAACCATTATATCCAGCTATCAGCTATTGTTTTAACCATTATTACAGTACCATCGAATAAGTAATTTGTTGAACTGTGTTTCAAAGTCGAATAGGCAATATGGGTATATCAAGTCAACCCTTCTTTCATCCCCCATCCCACCAACTTTATATACGTGATGGATGGAGAATCGTTTGTTTCCTATAGTTTGTTCTGCGAAAAATATTACAGTCCATTGTCAATTTGCCACGAGATGAAGGCCTTCCCATGTGTCAGCCATACAGGTTTGGCCATACTTCGCCATAACTGATCAGTGCGAATTGTGAAAGGGAGGCCAAGGACTGATGTTCCAATCAGAATCTATATTTTATTCATACTGGAGGAATCCGATTTAGCAATGAAGCTCTTTTTAACAGATATCCAGTATGATGTTGTTAGTCATACGTTGACACAATAAAACTGCTTCTGGACAAATGATTGGAGCTTCGATCTGTCTGTTGTTTCACCAGGTGCTGCTCAACTCCTACAAACATGACCAAGAGCTGATGCTGGTCACGTGCAAGGCCTCCCCCTACCCAGGGGCGTCGGAGAGTGACTCCTACATCTTGCTCAGAGAAGGGTACACAACAAAGCGTATTGTCTTGTAGGAGTGTAACAAGACATCAATTCTACTGAAATTGTCTAAATCCCATGATACATGCATCGAAGAACGTGTGTGAGTCTTCTTTGGTTCTTTCGGTAAAGTCACGTAGAATGAGAATAAAATAATAAATTGATAAAATAAAATAACACAATAATATACTCACGACGTTTCGGCCACAACACAAGCGGCCTTCATCAGGTGAAGGGACGAGACTGTCAATTTATTATTTTATTCTCATTCTACGTGACTTTACCGAAAGAACCAAAGAAGATTAATCCTTGCAGTCACAAAAGCTTTAAATCGAAATTTAACGTGTGTGAGCATTAATTTTGTTTGTAGGGTGTGTGTATATAAAGCTGAGGTCAATTATTTGCACACTATTCTCGTAAAGAGTTGAATAAATGCTGTTGTGAATTGGAGAGTCCAGGATTACGTGCATTCCCTCTGTTGGCTGTAGGTGCCCTGAGGACCATTCTTACGACATCTACCCGAGTGGCGATGACACGAAGAAGCACTTCAGCTTCCAGAGCTTTGAGATGAGCAACGGTGCACAGGTGCTATATTTTTTCAACAATTGCATTGAACGCAGCCGCGGCTACTAAAACTATTTTTTATATTACCAGGTAAGGCCCACTGAGCTATGCAGCTCTTTTTCGGAAGAGATTTAGCCACAAATGATCGCAAAACAAAGTGGCTTATCACGTGGAAATTATTATCAGCCAAATACTTTAAACATATGTTAATTCTAAATGTGGAGGGAAAAACCGGAGGACCCGCAAACTCGAAATATACAGGTGGCAGGGTAGGGATCGAACCCACGACCTTCTATATACCAGGCGAGGTAGTTAATATCTCACGACCGCGGCGCCTGTGGACTAGGAGAGTCCACAGGAGACACGCGAAACACATTTACGTTTCAACGTATTTCGTATGGTAGTTTTGTAGGACCCATTTGTCAACCCACTGCTGGATTAGGGCCTCACCATGCCTTACAGGTCGTGGAAGTTATTGTAACTTACGTCACCATACTGGTCAGTTCTGGAATTGGAAGTCAGGGAAGCGTATATCTGGAAACATAAAGCGAGGGAAACATGTACTGTATTATGCGATAGTTGATGTGTTACAAATAAAGTGAAAGTGCAAAGCATAAACTGTACCGTCACCCTACCTACAATGCAGTGCACGAGGAGACAGCTTTCTGCTGAGTAGCACATACAGTACACACAATGTTGTCTCCTGTGTTATCGCATAGCCACATATGGGTGAATGAAACCCACATATAGCGTATTTTGGGTATAAATAGGTTTGCCAAAAGTACACGGAATTTCACAAACTGAAGTCGGGGAAACTTGCACAAGAATAAATTTTGCTGCACTGCCTTTTGGTGCTCACAAACACAGCCCCGCAGCAGACTTTTGAGTGCAGGGTGGTAGCCCATCCAGCCACTGGTCCAGGTTCAATTCTGCTTTGCTTCCGAGATCTGACAAAATCAGGCACGTTCCGGGTGATTTGGTCCTACTCTTGTTGGAGTGCATATCACGAAGAGGTCATGGGACAGACCCAGGTGGCATGGGTTCACTGACTGAGATGACTGGCAGAAGCACCACCTTGTATAATTTATCCACCCATCACTGCGCTAGTTGTGAGTAATGCTCCTCTGCCCTCCACTGTTGTTGGAGCGCGATTGCCTGCAGCAGAAAGACAAAGATCCCCAGTATAGCCTTAGAAAACTTTTGGGGTAAGTGCTGTTAGCGAGCACCTATGATAGCCTGCACGGTACACGAGGCGGTGGGTGGTCAGCACCATGCCCGATCGAATTTGCCTCCCCAGTCGCGATGTTAACACACTGCACCAGGTACTTATTTGAGGCTGGTTTGACCTAGGGAAGGCCTAGGAGTGATTCAGAAAAGCGTCACTGGTGGTGGCCATGAGCGGGAATCGAACTCGGGTGGCCGGGTTCGTAACCTAGTACGCTTACCGCTGCCTATATGCACACGCGCACACACACCAAGTAATGCTTGGCCTGGATCATGCAGGTCTATCTGGAGTGCACTGTTCACGTGTGCTATGCCTTGGACTGGCACTCGCGCTGCCGACAAGGCTGCATTGAGCGTGGCAACCGGACAGCACGCGACGTTGGAGAGGAGACGCACGCAGCAGCGGAGAAACCCATCAACCTGTCCCAAGGCCCCTTGCTCGTGCTGCGCAAACAACGGGATGGTGAGTGTCGGTTCTCCCTGGCCTCATCCTCCAAATGTATTCACACAGATTTCGGCAGACTGTGTTCTCAGCTTGTACCTTTCCCCTGATGGGGAATGAGGCCTCCCTCATTTGCTTCCATGTCTTACTATTTCCTCTATTGTTCTTGTTCAGTAGTGACCTCCGAATTATTTGATTTGCATCTCACTCTCTCTTCAGCTACTGTCCTCTGCTTCTTTTGCTCTTTCTTACTCTCTCGGTATCCATCCCGTTGTTAATGTTGCCCATCTCACGTCCAGTGTTACCATTGTGGCCTGCACATTCCACTTGATTTATTTTGCTTTTCTTTATTTCTTTATGACTACTCTTTGGGTCTTTCGGTAACGTCACATAGAAAGATAGAAAAAAATATCACGACGTTTCGATCACAACACAAGCAATCGTGTTCAGGTGAAAACAAATACAGTAGGCGAACTGCTGTGGCAGGAGAAATATAGCGGGAGAGCTGCTGCAATAAGAGGTTATATAGGTTTGAAATGGATGCAACCCAAGGGTAAGTGGGCGGGGCTAGAGATGGAATTTGCATGTGAATGTAAGATCGGAGAGCCTGATATACCTCATGACTACGGTGCTGAAGAGGGCGGCTATTGTATTGCTAGATATTAGCATGTCAATCTGTAATTTGCATATAAATGTAAGATCGGAGAGCCTGATATAAATCATGACGGTTCCATAGATTTAAAAAAAACTGTTTTCACTTGTGTCTGCGGTCCATAAACAAAAACTGATTAAATATAAGTGGACACAGCCTCACATACATGATGATCAAATGGGTATCTTTAGCGTTTAACTGCTGCTCTACTGTTGCTTCTGTTGCTACGATCGCTGTTCCTCCTCCTGCCGCTCTAACTGCTGCTGATGCAACATCTGAGGCTGTTCCTGCCACCGCTACTTCTGTTACTGGTGTAGTGAGTTGGAATTAGGTGCACACACGACTCCTTGGGAGGCAACACTTATTTATTAGAACGGTAAGCAATATAACACTGTACATAAGGTGGTGACCACCGACACACTCTAGCTAACACACACTGCCCAGATACTCTAGCGTGACCCAGCCAGGTGGGCTACTGGCAAGTCCGCTGACTGGAGGCTTGACTCTTCTTGGCGTCTTCACGATGCATCTTCGTTCTTGATGCGGGCAGCCTCGAACCTCGTGAGGAGGCTGCTTTTATGGGCCTCAGCGTGCCCCGGCCCCGCCCCGGCCACGCCTCCCTTCGAGAACGCTCTCGAAGCCCCCCTTCTGTCCACGTGCCCCCCGAGGTGCCCCCTAGGCCCCCGGCCCCCACTGGGGTCCAGTCACGTGTCCAGCCGGGGTCACAGAGAGTGCCACGGCCTTACACCACCCTCGTGGCCTCCCGATTCCCGAACCGGCCCTGACGTCATTCCCGCCTCCAGCCGGGATGACATCGTGTGTAGACCCGCGTGGTCATGACGCTCCCCCGCATAGTGACGTCACGCTTGTGCGTGTGTACACAGTAGTGATGCTACCATCACTACACTGGTAATGTTTCTGCCGATGCGTTTTGTTGTTGCTGCTATTGCTGCCTGTCTTGTTGCCAATATCGCCGAGTCTAGTACGTTTTATTTGTAATTCATCTGTGACGCCTGTCTGTTATAGATCAGCCATCCAAGGTTCCATTTTATCAACAGCAAAGAATAATACGGCAAAAATAATTTTAAAAAAGGTTAAAATGCTGGACTTAACCGTCTATATCAATCTTGATTTGAAGCTTTCGTGACTACAGGAATCCATACTCTTTGGTTCTTTTGGTAAAGTCACGTAGGTAGAAAAAATAATAAATCACGACGTTTTGATCGCAACACAAGCAATCGTCATTAGGTGGGACAACCACAGCAAGAAAAAACGCATTAAGTAGGCGAGACATCTGCCGTGGCATGAGGTTATATAGGCCTCGGCAGTAGGGGGGGAGAGAGAAGGGGGGGGCAGGGCAGAATGTTGACCGTGTATATCACCATTATTTCTGCTGAAGCCCCCAGTCGACCAACCCTAGGTGGGAGGTCATTCATTCTGCTCTGCTACCCCCATGATCTGAAACTCACTTTACCCCGGCTGTCAGTGCTATCGATTCTCTGCCCCTGTTCAGGTCCAGACACAAGCACAATTTTGTCCTCGGCCCACGACTGGACTGACTGCATTCTCTTCTTGATGCATAAGTGCACCGTTTCTCTCCAGCGTCTGCAGATATGATTGCATTGTTGTGCATTTCATAAATCCACTTTGCATTGCGTTTTGGACAACCCCCCACCCCCCACAGCCTCTCTGGAGCAAGGCAGCTCTGGAATGCCCGGCTGGACGGGCATGGTGTATGCCTTGGCTGCCACCCTGGCCATCAGCGCCGTCTGCGTGGCCACGGTGAAAATCTACTGGCTTCGTGCCACCAAGACTCAGTATCTCCCACTCTCCACCGCTGATGAATGAATGACTCAACAGGCCGTGTGCTCTTTTGCTTAAATTATGAGCTGCACCACGTACTTTTCTAACCATAAATCACGTCTCACTTCAATTTGCCATTTCATTTAACTTTGATTCAAATAGAGTGGAGCTGGTTGGTTGCAAACATTTATTGGGCTCAGTGTATTCAGGTATCATTGAGATGATATATGTTAACTGCCAGAGGTATGAAGATACCTATATTAATTAAATAACATTGCTTCTAAGGCTTACATCTAGTTGCATGTGTAAGAATGGTTGCTTTTCAATTAATGGGAAATATATCAGAAAACACTTTCCAACGCGCATGTCTATATAAGGAGACTTTATGTAAAGCATAAAACAAATATTTGTAGTCACCAAAGCTGGAATATTATCCAATTTAATAAAACATGTGGCGGTTTTGTATGCAGTGAATGGTGACCAGGCTGATATAATCAATTAGCTTTAATTGAGAATCCGGATTAATCACAAAGGAAACTAAGTGGGGGTTTTAAGCGAGATGTCCAGCAGTATTGGGCCGGACCCCTGAAATAACCAGTACCTCTATTTTGCACAGATCTTACGTACAGAAATACACCTTTTGAGACTGCCGTCCACTGACTGTGAAACAAATGTTGAACCAGGTGGAAGCATGGAAACGGTGGCGGTATTTGAAGGCATCGACAGCATTGGCCATGATGATCATTTTACATTGCAATACAAGTTCCTGGACGCAACCGCTGAACTCTCTTCAGTGCCATTTTATCGCTACTACACTTATCAGTAATTACTCTTTTTACTGATCAGTAATGCTGAACACTTATACGGAACATGTCCTGTTGAAATGGAGTTCGTTTTTATTAAGCAGTGTGATTTTTTTTCAAGAAAAGGATGTCGAACTCGTCAGAC